CAAACAAAAACCCACCTGGCAACCCACCCTCCTGTTAAACACTCTGTAACTGCAGATGGAGAGAATGAGATTAAACATCAAAAAGGACTTCCCAGGCCCTGGCTGGGCAGCTCACTTGGTTAGAGCATTGTCCCAATACTCCAAGGTTGTGAGTTGGATCCCTGGTCAGGGCACATACAAAAATCAACCTATGAATGCACAAATAAGTGGAACAATACATAGAGGTCTTTCTTTCTATCTCTCTTTCTCTTTCCCGCTTCACGTTCCTCTCTCTCTCTAAAATTAATAAAAAAGAAGGAAGGAGGAGGAAGAGAAGGACTTCCAGGATCTACTAGAAAGGCAGCTGGCTCCACTCCACATACTTCACTTAGGATATCAGGCCCCTCTGTCTTCTTCTGAGACTGGAAATATGAGTCTCTAGTCTTGTTTTGCTCTCTGCCCCAAGCTAGAGAAGTCAACTTTCTGAACTTTAAATTAGTTACCAAGCTCCCAAGTCTGATGGGGCTGGCTGTCCCTTGTCCTCAAGGCAGGAAGTGACCCCAGGTATGGAGGGTTAACTTCCTTTCCCCAGCCCTTTCCTTTAGAGCACTGGGCCTCCCTATGACATCCACCACTGTATCTTCAGGACAAGAAGAGGGTGGACTGGTAGTGTTGGTATCCCTCAAGGTGCTGGGTGTCCATGAGGGGCAGAGGAAGACAGCCCAGCCTTGGGGACACTTTATCCTCACGTCTCCCCACTATACCACTTTCTCCCCAAGGACCACGGAAGTCTTGGCCCCACTCCAGAAAAGCTCTCTGTTAAAGAAGACTCCATGTCCCAGGCAGCTTTGGGGAAACATGTGACTACACACCCCAAACATGTTCCAAGGGAGGAGGAGAGAGGTGGTAACAGAAGTGGAATGTAGGCATGTACGCACACATGCACACACACTCATCTGAGAAACACAACCCTGGGCACACGTACTCCGAGAGATACTCCCAGACACATGCAGCTGAGAGATACACAGACGCAACTCCCAAAGACACACATCCAAGATACCTGCTAAAAATAACCCCAAACTCCCCAAGAATGTCTCTTTAAGACCACAGTGGCTGTCATATTCATAGAGAAGGCCCAAGAGAGCCCAGGAACAAAAGACATGGACCAGTACACAGAACTACTGACAGAAAGAAGATAGACGCACACTGGGACACACACACACATAGTAATACACATGTGACCATCTGCTAGCACATAGACACACCCTGGCGCTGCACAGCATGAAGTCAGGTTACAGGACTAAGTTCTGGGCTAGTGGGGAGGAGGGGAGTCAGAGTGGGTGGAGAAGTGTTCAGGGATTTCAAAACAATCCTGGTTTCGAAATGCTGGATTCAGGGCCATTCCCAGTTGAGGGTGAGGGGGAGTGAGGAGGAGGGGAAGGCCAGCGGGTGCAGAGCCACCAACCAGCCCATTGAAGGAGGGGGTTAGCCAGACATAGCCTCTGAGGAAAGGAGACTAGAAAGGGCATTAAAGTTAGGAAAAGCAGGTGCCCCAGTCCAAGCAGGGAGGGCCTGGAGTAAAAAGGAGGCAAAAAAGAAGAGGCCTCTGCTTTTGTCACTGGTTGGAAAATAAAGCAGGGAAGGCTTCTCTTCCCCTCAGGGCTGAGAGGAAAGAGAAACTTGCCTATGCCCGTACGCCCACTCATAGGCCATGGTAACCACCTTCTCCTTTACAGACTGGTACGAGGTGTGGAGGGTTGACTTGGTACCACACCTGGTTACCTTCCCCACCCCTTCCCCGCCAGCTAGCAGAGCCCAAGTCAGGCCTAATGCTAAGGGGTTGGAGAAGGTAGGGATGGCGAGCAACAAGGGCCTACAGGGGTCAGGGATCTTCAATGCTCAGGGCAGGGTGGGGCACTGCTACCTGAGAACCCAGGGCTCCCCTTCTCTCCATGAGGAGTGGGGCCTGGGGAGACTGAGGCAGTACAACATACCCCAGCAGACAGAAAGTCACCCTTTTCCTCCCAGGATAGCAGAATGCCCTTACTACCCTTCTTCCCCCAACCTTCAATGAAAGTAAGCCATTCTCTCTCAGAGAGGGGAGCTCAAGCCAATCTGGGGGTGGGGATCTGGAGGCCCAGCTCTAGTACCCAGCTGAGGAAATTCCAGGCAGTACTTCTAGTCTGCTGTCTTCAGGGCCACCCATCCAAATGACCTGCGGCACCTTAGGGCCTCTACTGCTGTAGCCTTCCACTAGCCCCTGAGTTCCTAGCTACTTGGCTACTTGGACCTCCAGCTGGCTTCAGCTCCAGCTCTGATAGTTACAGCACAGGATCTGGGAAAGCTCAGCACCCTCTGTATGGGCCTCTACCGCCCCATCCCGGCCCCTTGGCCAGGCAAAGCCTTCATTCCCCAGATCTCTGGAGCTGGCTCCAGAGTGTACCTATGGGTGCTCAGCTGGCAGGGCTAGCAGGCAGGGGCACAGATGTCAAGCTAGAGCAGCCAGGCACTCAACAGGTTGAGCCAGTCCCTGTAACAGCCCCACCCCAGGGAGAGCAGGCTGGCAGAGGCTCCGTGCCCAAGGCACTCAGCCTGTACCCACTTGGCTCCCACAGCTGCCCACTTTCCCACGCTGCCATCCCCTTCTGCCTCCTCCCCCTGGGTCAGCACCCAGGCAGTACCCAGATCTCAGGAAGGGATGTTATTTCCTCTTTACCCTTGGGTGCCCAGGCTCTTGGGGCACCTCACTTTGATGAACCAAGAAGCCCCAGGAAGCGTAAATATGGCATCAGGACAAGAACCCCGAAGTGCTCCCCCAACCTCCTTTCAGGCCTCTCTGGTTCCAGGAAGACTAAACACTCTGAATCCCCACTGCTGCCCCACCTCCCTACTGTCCCCAGACACTGGGACAGAATTTTAGTCTAGGGAGCCAGAGTTACTATGGGGGTGCTCCTGGCTCCTGTCTTAGATGCCCTAGAGGAGGGGCTGAAAACTGACTGAAAACTGGCTCCCTCCAGTCCTGCTAGAGCTGCTGCTGCCTGCAACCCTGGTCCTTTCCTTGCACCCTACTCCTGGGCTCCATGGAGCTCCATCCTGGCCACATACCCAACAGGCAGGCAGCCCCTATTTGCAGACATCTCCTTTAATCTAAAGCAGGTGCCTGGCATTCCTGCCTTTGCTGAGCAGACACTGCCGTCCACTAGGCCTCTGCCCAGAATGCTACTCCTGCTTGTTAATGGAAATGGAGTGTCCAGCCCTGGGCTCCTACTTAACCCAGGGACTCAGAAACTGGGAGGCAGGAAATACCCAAAGTCATGAGTGCCCAACACAGATTCAATAAGCAAGTTCCCTAGGTCCCACATTCCCACTATTGTGCTAGTCCCAGATGTCTGTGGACCCCCAATTCTTCTCCAGGACTCTGTAATCTCTCCCCACTTTGACCCTCAACTCCGGTAATTACAGCCTCACTTTGAGTCTCCACATGGACCTCCAGAACCCATCTCCTGCTACCCCAGGCACAAGAGTTACCCTGGATCCAAGATTATAGGTATTCTAGCCCTCAAAACCACCCATTCCAATGTTAACCCCCACGCCACCCTAATTAGGAGAAGCACAGGTAAGCTGAGAACCTCTAGAGGGAAGTGGTCAGAAGGCTGGCCTTCAGACCTGGTTCTTTAAGGCCAAGGGATCTAATCACCTGGAGGAGGCAGCATCTGTCTTTCTGGCATAGACTCCCCCCACCCCTCACCTTCCTTGCCATCTTCACCCTGTCCTGAGGCTTCTATCAGCAGGCACCTCAGAGATGACACCAGAAAGCCAGGGCCTGAACATGTTCTTCACCTAGGGCCATGAAATCATGGTCCTGACCAGAGAAAGCAGCCAAGGATCCATACAGCCCTAGCCCAGAAGAAGGCTTGGCTCCCAGGAAAAACTGAGGAGCAGGGAGAAGGGAAGTTGAAGCCTACCTACCTTGGAAGTCTCATTTGGAAAGCTGCCTAGAAATATCAGTAGGATTACAGCAGAAAGTGGGAAGACAGTTTTCTTAGGTAAGCCCTTTCCCAGAGTTCAATCACATGCCCAGCTCACCTCTCCCAAGGCAACACTTTTCCTCCCTGCAGCAGAGGACTCCCCCTGCCCCAGACACAAGCTTACACCCCAAGCAGCAGACAGACAGAAAGAGGAGGGAGGAGGTGGTGTCAGAAAAACCCGGAAGGAAGGAAGCTGGACAGACAGACAGAAGCTGATCCTGGCTTTACTGTTTCAATGAGACACCCTCCAGATTCCCAGACTCTGAGGAACACTCCTTCTCATCTTCCAGGAGGGAGAAGAGGAGAGTAGACCTCAGTCTCTCCTTAAACCAAATTCCAGCAGCTCTGGGATAGAACTTATCTCAGCCAAGCAAGAAGCCTCTAAGCCTCACTTTTCTGTCCCACATTCCTTTGGACCAAGGCAGGGGCCACTTCCCCTTAGCAGTGCAAGGATACCTCCAAGGAACAGTGTGACTGCCCCACCCCATACCACTAAGAATCCTTGACTGGGGCGACTCTTCCAGTCACAGCCCTTGCTGTTCCTAAGCAGTGCTTGGGAGCAGAGGGTTACCCCAGCAATCCCCAATCCCAGTGCACCTTCTCTGGATGCTCCCATCAGGCAGGGAGTTGGCAAGTCTGGGAGGGGGACTACAACTCCCAGAAGCCCCCAGGGCGGGTTTGCTGCTCCAGCTGGCCCAAGGCCGGCCTTGTTCTCTGCGCTGGGGGGGGGGGGGGGGGGGGGGGGGGGCAGGGCCCCCGGGCTGCCCCTAAGCCCTCCCCATTGTGCTCTGGGGCTGCCTACCTGATTGGCGGCCCAAGAGTAATCTCCACTAACCCTAGGGGTACCCCTATCCCTTAAACAGCTCAGGGGTGCATGCCTGAGGACAGGAGACAATCAGACTGTTCCCCCTCCCCAATTCGAACTGGATCTCCCTCCTTGTTCCTTTGCTAGCTTGGCATGACCTTCGCCCTCAGCCCCAGCCCACCCCTCACCTCTTGCGGGTCGGGGGTCCTCACGCCAGGCCGGAGCTGGACGCCATGACCAGGTCAGGGCCGGTGGGTGGAGTGGGGTCCTCCTGCTCACCAGTTGGAGGTGCGGAGGGAGGCGGGCAGGAGGTGATCTTTAGATCCTGGACGCCTTGATCTCTATACCATCCCGGCCCAGGAGAGGGTATCCGGGGATCGCTGGGTGCCTAGGTTCCTGCCTCCCAATCCAGGAGCATGGCTGTGGGAGCCGGGCAGTGGCGGAAGAGCGCGCACACCCGGCCGGCCCTGGGCTCGGCGCTGGGGTCTCGGCCCCGAACCTCAAGGCTCGGGCTCCTGCTCCTTCCTTCCTCCTTCCTTCTTTCCTTCCTTCCTTCCTTCCTTCTTTCCTTCCTTCCTTCCTTCCTTGCTCCGTCTCCTCCTTTCACTTTCCCCGAGGCCAGCGGGGACGACGGGCGGGCGTGGGGCGGGGAGGGGGTTGTCTGGGCGTTTATTGTTGGTCGAATGTAGAGGGTCTGGGTCCCAGCCCCCGGGGGGCGAGGCACGGGGGAACCCAGGCGTGAGGACGTCCGTCCGGCTGGCTCTGGGCGGCGGCGGTGGTGGTGCAGCGGACCCGAGTCCGGGGCATGTCGGGCCACTGGCTCGGCCGCGCGCCGCCGCCTCCCCGGGCTCCCCTGCGCAGCCGGAGCCTCGCTCGCCCCTCCACTCGGCTCTTCTCCCTAGCCTGAATAAGCATCGGGGCTCTCTGGCTGCCTCCTTCAGCCTTCATACCAAAGCCCGGAGAGGCCCCTGTCAAAATAAGAGCTCCCCCATCTCGCTCGCCACTTCGCGCAATCCCGCTCCCCCAGCCTCCCAGTGGTCTAACTCGGTAAGGCGCCGTGCGGGCTAGAGGGAAAGAAGGTTCGTCGGTCCAGAGGTGTGGAAGGGACTACCCTCTTTCCTCCCCATTCCATAAGACCGAGGAGGAGACGCGCCAGCAACATCCCACGCTGGGGAGAAGTTTGAAGGCCTACCCTATCCTCCCATCTACGCCGATGGGAAGGAGGAGGATCTCTGGACTCCCTCAACCCTCACCAAACGCACTGCTGGGTCCCCTCTTTATTGTACCCAACCACATTCATTATGCATCTCCGTTATTCCTTTCTCTTTCCTAGCAGATCATGAAGTTCTTGAAGACATAGACTGATTTTTTTTTCTCAATTCTCAGTACAAAGAAGATGCTAAGAATATGTTTGTGGTAGTGGAAACTTTGTCTTCTCCCAATACCTACTTCACACACACATACGCACAAGATCTGATGTGAGAATAGATGCAACAAGAAAGAAATGGTAAAGCACTTTTTAAAAGCATTTCACATATGTTATTTCAATGTTTATCACAAACCCATGAGGAAGATGTTATGGCCACATTACACAGGTGAAGAAACTGAAGTTTGCACTAGTGAAAGTCTCACTCCAGGTTTCACAGCTAGAAAACAGGAAGCCCAGGACTAGAATTTGGGTTTCCTTAGGGCAAAGCACTCTCCCTGTATCCCACTGCCCCGACCCACCCAGAATTAATACCACCAACAAGTAACAGCATTGACTTTTTCAAAGGAAGAGCACTGGCAAGTAAGCCTGTTTGCTCCTGCTATTTGATTCCTCTGCTGCTCCTCTGCCCCTGCTCAGAAAGCTCTAGCCCTCTCCTGCCTCCCTCTCTTCTGACCACATATTATATCTATGACATCCACTGGGTACCTATTTAAATGTTTTCTTTTGTTTGTCATATATATATATATCTGGTTGCTCCAAAAGATTCTTGAGGGTCCAGACCATGCCTCCTGTGCCTCTATACTCCCTACAACACTCAAGTGCTGGTGTCATAGTAGGGCTTCAATAAATATTCATCTGATGGGTGGATGATGCCAGCAACTGGCCACTGGACCAGGTCTAGGAATATATAGAAGGGGAAAAAATCCTGAAAGAAGAAAATAACATTTGTGAGTGCTTAACATCACTATTTATGAAGCATTTTCATACATATGATATCTTGATCATGCTTTGATCCAGTTGACAAAACTTCCCCAAATGCCTACTAATTACTGTGCCAATTAACAGAGCTGTGTTAGAGATTGACTCATCACAACCCTGAGCCAGGTGAGCCAGGTAGTATTCCCACTTAAAGAAAACTGAAGCCCAGAGGGGCTCAGCTCTGGCATGAAAGAATCCCAGGGCCTAGGCTAACACTTGATCCATAGAATTAGGATTTAATTTCCTCTACCCTCTCCAGGGTTCTGTGGGTATAACATGAGCTACAAGGCAAAAGGGCCATTTCTCAAAGAGAATGCTTGTTATAAGGAAGGGCCCACCCCATTTATGTGGATCAGCCTCCTATTACATACATGGCAAGACACATGGGCTTGTTATAATTTGTTTGGCACAATGCCCAGTTTCTAGTAGGTCCAGAACACAATGTTAGTAGGGACGATGGCTGTGTTGCAAAGTATCTCTTAAATGTGGTACAAAGTAAATTCAAGTATATTTGGCATGTCCTGTGGAACAGCACAGTGCCCCCCTGGGTGTGGCTTTGACGCATTCCCCCAGGGTAGATTACAAATTGGGATGCGGAGCCGGAGCCGAGCTCCAGATAGCCATGAGTTCTGGGTGATATCCTGGAGTGAGTGAGAAGTGGATGGAGGCCGGTGGCTCTTGGGTAGAATCCAGCGGCTCCCTCTACTGGAGAACTGGGAAAACCACCGGGTATTTCTCTCTATCTGCGAGTCACAGATGTGTCAGGGAGTGTCATCAGAAGGGCTGGCAAGGTATAGGTGTGTGAGGATGACTGTGGCGCAGTGCGGCTGTGCCAGCACCACGAGGGCCTGTTTTGGAATCACAGGGTGCACACACACAATCACATCTTGTAATACAATTTGGGGGGGTACTGGGGAGAGGGGGCAGTGCTAGGGCTGCTGATTGTCTGAGATTATTTCCTATGGTGACTAGGACATAAGGATCTTCAGCTGGTACTCCTCACTGACCTCGAGCTGGTGGGAGGAATTCAGGACTGGAAGGGATTCGGATCCTGGAAAGGGGCTCCATCCCCTCAAGTAACTAGGATTCAAGACAGGGTTAACTTTGAGAGCCACAGTGACTTCAATCATTGGTTCAGGGCACTGTCAGTCAGTATTCTGGGGGCAGGTTTTGCGGGGGAGCCTTTGGACTTCCAGACGCGCCTCACTTGTCCCTCCACCCCCACATCATTTCACTTTGGGATGCACCCACAGCCCCATCTTGATAAAGACAAACTTCCTGGGCCTGGAGGAGGACCTTCCGGGCATTCTGGCTTTCCCACTCACGCCAGCGGCCTGGCTGCTTGATAGATGGTGATTATTATATAATAGACCTTACGGACAGAACCGTGCCAGCGCTCGGAACAATTTGCTCCTCCTCGAAGCCTGCCCAGGGCCTGGCACAAACCATGCAGAGCCTGCTGCCCAGTTCTACCAGCGCCTGCCACACTGCCTCCAACCCTAGGCAGGACACTTCCTGGGCCACCTTCCCTGGTGGCCCTGGGGCTGTGTGTTGGGATGAGGCTGAGCAGGTCTCAGGGGTGGCCAGCAGAGTTTGGTTTTACTAGCACCTCTCCAGGATTCTGAGACCCACTCGGCCCTTCCAACCTGAACTTGGAACTTAGGAGCCAGTAGAGATGGGGACAGGGAGTGCAGGGGACTGGGTGGGAAAGGGAAAGAAGTTTGGAAAAGATGCCGGGGCAGGAAGGGGAGGCTGGGAGAGGGGGCCGCAGGGGCAGTGGGGGAAGGACTCTTATCCTGACAGGGCTCCCGCCTTCCGCGGCTGGAGGGTTTGGAAAAACTGAGTAGGCAGCCAAGGCTTGGCTGGAAATCCTGCAGCCCACCCTCTTGGGGACGTGAAGCTGGAGGGCGGGGTGGGGAGGGTCAGGGAATAGAGCACGACCCCTGGGGAGGGCGGGGCCTCTTTTGAAGCTGCCCCCCCCACCCCCCACCCCCGGAGATGGGTCCCTTTAGAGGGGGTTCCTAGCGCTGTCTCCCGGCAGTTAGTTTCCCTCTCCTTCTCTACCCCTCCCCTTCCACTTCCTTCGTCCAAGCTCCAGTCTTGAAGATTTCGGGCAGACTTAACTCCTTAAGTGCCAGTCACTTAAGAGGAATAAGGTGATTAGGCTGAGAGGGAGGGTAGAGAGAAAGGACTCCGGACCCCATGCTCACCCACAGTTTAATACCTTGTAGCCCAGAACGCAATCTCGGTACTCGGGCTGGTCAGGGCCCTGGAAGGCTCTACCTGTACTTGACGAGCAACACACAAAACCAGGCACCTGAGAGGTGCGTGACCCAGTCCTTTCTCTTGCCAAATAGTAGCTGTGTCTCTCAGTCCACTCTTTGGCCACACCCCCAACACCACCAGAATTACTAGTTTTTGCAAAGGGGCTTGAAAGATGGAAGGCTGAGGGGAACCCGGAAGTATGGGTTCTGTGGTTGCCACAGCGTTCTCAATATCCTGCCAGTGAGGCCCAGCGCTAGTAAACCAAGCCTTTCTTGCCTCTGAGGGCCTTCTTAACCCATGTGCAGGCAGGAGCAGGGGTTAGCTACCAAAGGGAGTAAGGTAGTGCTAGCTAACACCAGCTTCGAGCTAGGATAAGGGCAACAATGAATAGGAATGAAAACTTCATCTCCACCCTAGCCCCTCTCCTCTGCAACACCCCCTCCACCATCAGATTTGCTCTCCCATCATGCTATGAATGACTGCCTGGGGGAAGTACCTCAGACTAGGCAGGAGAGGGTTAACTTTGCTACCAGGCTCTAGAATCAGTTCAGTTTTGACACTGCCCTTACTGGCCCTCAGGTGTGGGTGGGTGGGGAATTGGAGGGAGACTGACCCTAGGACTGTGTCGTCCCCCCCCCCCCCCCGTGGCCAGATATGGCTTAGCAGTCTCTTGTAAAAGCTAGCTCAATTGGAAATTGGTGGAAAGACTTTGGAGACAGCTCCAGTATTCCTGCAGCACCTTCTGAAAGAAAGAAACCTATGGATTGGTTGATGAAATGAGGGAGCTCCCACAATCCTGGCCATGCCATCCCCATTCAGCAGGCTGCTTCAGCCACTTCCAGATCCTTAATGATCTGGTGACTAAGTGACTCTACTAGTGGGTCGCAGATGGCCAGACACCTGGAGGAAAGAGAAAAACAGAAGACAGGGGCCCCAACCTTTCAACCTAATAGAGGGGTCAATAGAAGGAAGCTGACCCTCACCTTCTATGTTCCCTAACCAAGGACACTTAAGAGTAAATTGTTTACACTTCTCCTCCCCAACCAGAGGGTAAGTAGCTTAAATCACCCTTATTCAGGGAGATAGATAGCAGAAATCCGTTAGTGCTATTTGTGCCAACCACACCCAAGGATGGATGAAATTAAGGGAATAAATCTCATTTTGGTGCATCAGCATAAAGTTAATGATATATCTGTTGAGTTCCTCCCCTAAGATCTTCCCTAAACTCATAGCCTTTAAAGCCCTCAAGAGGAAGGACCCAGGGCCCACTCTACCTCTCTTCTTCTCCCTTCCCTGAGCATGCCATGCCTTTCTTCTCTCTCAGGCATGCATGTCCTAAACTCTAAGTGTCCCTGCATGATTCTCCTGGTTAGAGGAGTAATGGGCAGTGAGAGCTTATCCTGGGCTAAACCCCTGAACTTTTTCCAAGGCCCCTTTTCTCTGACTTTTCAGTGAGCCAAAGCAGCCCCACTCTGGCTCTCTCCTGTTGCTTCCTTTCCATGCACTTCCT